AGGCAACAGAGATATTTTTCACAACTTAGGAGTGATTCTACTGAAAGCCAAGGCCCAGGCAGGAAGAGTTAAATTTTTGGTTTGATGCTGTTTAGCATTCTCCTTTGCACACTCTTTGCACCACCTTACTTTCTTGATGCCAGGCTGGGAGCGTGCCAGATCCAGGATGGATTCAAGAAGCGTTGGCACTCAAAGAGATTCCAAAGGAAGGCCCAAATCTTCAAGAAAGGAATCCTCAGAAGATGATTGCCAAAGAACGACCTGAGACTTGTCAGGAGCTTAAGAAAACTTTAGACATTTGTTCAAAGCAGCCAGAGAGTTAACTGACTGTCATCTGACTGACCCTCGCTTTACCATGCATTTGTCTGTTTGGACAATTTTGGACAGGTCTCCAAATCATTCGGCCAGCCAAGCTGATAGAAGTTCTGGAGGTCCTTGCAGACAGCACATCAGACTGGGGAGCTCGTGTGACTGACTTCGATATTTTTGATGCATCCTGTCAGTAGCCTGTTTGCAGTGAAATCACTGAAGCATCCCAATCTACCCGGTAGTGTTGTCCCAATCACTGAAGCATCCAGTGTGTTGTTCTACCCGGTCCCAAATGTCCAGTGCATCCACTTTGTGACTTCTTCTGAAGGCAACAGCGCTTGGAAAGATCCTGGCCAACATGACGGGCCTTGGAGTATAACAGTGTAACAGGAACAGTGGAACTTTGTGGAGCTTCTTCATGCGGCGTTGTCTCCCCACAGCGTTGGGCAAAGGGGCCACCAATTGTGCTTGGTGGTTTGGAGAGTTTGGAGGCTCTGAATTTGGTCGTAATCCTGAGAAGCTTCATCACGCTGCTTTGTGCTGCCTTCATGTATTCGGATTTTGCCATGTTGCCAAGATGAAGACGAAGAATCTAATTGCCACACCCCTTTAGCAGCAGCCATCATCGTGCTTGGCCAAAGAGTACGACAAGAGGGACCAACATCCTGCAACGTGACTTGCCGCCGTGATGTAGCAATGGCATGAAATGGCCAAGAATGACGCCAACTTTCTGCATTTTGTCGCTCTTCCCAGCTCCTGTATCACTCCTCTGCTGGAGCACATGTCTATACCAACTGAAAAAAGGAGAGTGATTGTTCTGCATTTTGCTTTGCTGATGCCTTGCATACAGGAACTCATTAGTTAACTGAAATGTGGTCAGTGAGGTTCTGATGGAACGCCAGTTGCCACCCCACACACACCTCATGCACCCGAAGCCTCTAAGATGGTGCTCCTGTCTTGGGTTAAGCAAGGTCGACTCCGAAGACCAAAGATTGGGCAGTTCAATTCGGCCAGGCCCAAATCTTTCAAGAGATTGACACATCCGGCGATGGAATCCTACAGTTGGATGAGTTTGTGACTGGCATTGAGAAGGCCTGCAGAAAGCAATTGAGTCATCGCTTGCAAGAGTTTGTAAGATTTATGCTTGTGGGTGGAGTGGCAGTGGCTCCCACCACAGCAGCAACAACACGAGCAGTAGTAGTGTTAGTGGTCGCCAGTGGTCGCATACATCTTTTTTGTATGGTGGTCCAATGAGAGTCACAGTCCAGTGGTAGCGACAATTACGCAGCTGTTAGAAAACCCCGTTCTAGGATTTTTTTGCCACGACTTGGATCATTAACACATACGACATCATACGACCAATATCAAGCTGTTCCATGTGCAAACTTTTCGAACAAGACGTCACTGGCAAGGATTACAAACAAAAAGGGCATAATTTTGTTGAAGCAATGAGAGCTGGCAACGGCAGCATGCTCCCTCACTCGTTTCGTTGGGTCCCGCAAAGCCTGCAGGCAGAAAACATCTTTGCATGCCGCAAGTTGCAGGCTATATTTATAATATGTATATATATATATATGTATAACTTGTCACATGAAAGGACTCAGTTCAGCTATATAATATACTGTAATTGCTGTAGACAGAAAGCAATCGCTAGATTGCATGTCTTAGTCTTGGCCATGTGGTCACTCAGACTGGGTCAGACAAATAGAATTTGCATGTGGGTGAATGTGGGAATCAAGCAATCTGTCAAACCGTCCCATGTATGCAACCCTCTACTGGGATTCTTACCTACACAAATTTTCAATATTCTGTGCAATGCCACACACATAAAGTTTTACTTCATACATAACTTTTCAGAAAGGTGGAATCTGTAGCTGGTTGGGATCAGGGACTCCAAGGTAGCAAATCAATGTAGGAAGCTGTTCAAAGCACATGAACCTATTTTGCAAGATCAGTTGCTGCAAGTTGCTGCAAGTAACTTTCTTCCGACTAGTGAGCACGTACGAGCTAGGGGCTAGGGTCAACCCCAATACGAGTCACAAGCAATTTGTTAGTGAGCGGTCGTGGGATCTCTAGATGCAGCTGCTTTCCTGTGAGAGCAAAACAACGCATCAAACCTTGAGACTTACTGCAATGAATTCTGTCCATTCATCACTCTGATCAAGCCACAACGACTGACCAAGTTGTGCATATGCGTGCACTACTAACACAGTCACCCGAAAATTCACTGGAGGCATGTTGTTTGTTCGTTTGACTTCTTTCAAAGCTTTGGCATTGCCAGTTGCCTGGCTTGGACAAGTGCAGTATCGATGGGGCTCCGCTGTCGTTCAGCACTCAGATGCACTCAATGCCAAACATCCTTATCTTCCGACTTGCTAGACAAGTTGTACATATTTATGCACTATATACTAGGACAACTCCTTAACGTATTTGTATATATATATAATACCTGTATTATGTTCTTCGTTCAATTGACCTCCTTTCAGATAAAAAAATGAAATGCCAGTTGCCTGGCTTGAACAAGGGCAGTATTGATGGGCCCCGTGTTGTTCAGCATATTGTTTGCATTTCCTGTCACCTAAACCACAGCAAGTGTATATTGCGTGATTGAGGCATGAGAAGCTGGTGGAGATCTCAAAGATTTTGGACGTGACGCATGATGGAACTTTGAACTATCTGGAATTTCAACAGGCGCTCTGGGTGAGCATTCTTTGTCTTTAGAGCATTGCAAGTGTTTGGAAAGGATTTCCCAAGCCCAAAATGACCTTGCAAGGCCTTCCAGCTGAAGGGACAAGGGACCACTGACCTTGAGAACAGTTTGGTCGAGGAGTCGCAAGATGTAGATTTGCCCACAGAGTAGCAGAGTAGCAGCAAAGTCATCGGATACTTTGTCTACGCATGTCTACGTTCTTGGTTCTTGGATCCCTTTTTGAGGACCTTACCACGCTGCTCTTCCGCAGGGCCCACAGTACCGAAGGAACCACAAATCATTATATAGTGCAAGCGCTTCTTCAAGGAAGCTTCCTCCGCCGCCTTTAGGGCTGCGGGGGGAGCTTCTTTGAAGAAGCGCGAGCTATCCTGCGTCCAGTTACTAGTAGCTACCTAGCTACTACTAGCTACCTCTAGCTACTACTAGCAACCTCTAGCTAACTTCCTACTCGTACCTACCTCTAGCGGCCAACCCCCCCCAAAAGAAAAGTACTGTGACCTGACAATTGAGGCTACAGGGTCCACATCCGCACCGGGTGCCAATTCCTGGACGAGGTTGCCAGCTGCAAAGTTCATTGTGAGGACGGGCGTCCCAAGAAGAAAGTTTTCTGCCAAAGGTTTTCTAGGCTGACCAGCAAAGCTTTTCTACCCCCTGAGTAGGCCCCTCTATCGTTTTTATTATATGCTCTACCATGCTTTACCGAATCATTTGTGTAAGTGACTGAGCTTCACTAACTTTAGATGACCGCTATGTGGCGGCAGCATGCGGCAACAAGGACTTTGGGAATGTGCTCCGTGGTGTGAACAATGCCCTTCGTTCGCGCGAACCTAAGCCTCCGATGTATGTGGAACAGCGCCTGATGTGCAATTGTCACACCTAGAAACCTGAAACCACAAGATTCCAGGAACGAGCAAGGAATCTCTGAGTCACAGATCACGCACCTATCTTCCGCCTTGACAGTGGAGGAGTGCGTGGTACCGGGGAGCAAAAACTGAATGCAAAATTCACCTCAGCCCATAAGCAGCAAGGATTAATAGAATATTGTACCAAGAGGGAGAAATAAGGAACTCCAGGATCCATGACATGCATCACTGCCACTTACAGGAAACTCTAAGTGTTTTGACTCGATGCGGAATCTGCAAGGAGGAAGGGGAGCAATTTGTAGCATATGACGAGTTTCTCAGGCCAGGAGCTGCCATGAGTAAAGAGATTTAGAAGGCTGTTGCTGTGATGGCAGGTCTTTCGTGATAGTTGATACGAACGACGGGAGCATAATTAAATCGTTTCACTGAGATTGCAAGGGTGGGCATGCAAATAGAACGCTCAAGATGAGTCTGCACATGTACATAACAAACTAACGTGCGCTTAAGAGATTTAATATGATTATGTATAGAATTATGCAATTTGACAAAAGGGTTTTGAACAGATGCTTGACCTTGCGCAAGCCAAGTTGGATAATCGCCATGAGGACAAAGTCTTCGCTAGGAGTTCCCAAATGGAATATTTGGGACCCGAGCTCGGCATGAGCCAAGCCATAAGGTGAGGCTGCTTGTCTCACGCTTATGCCACAAAGTGGCCAGCTTGAAATGGGTTTCACAGCTACAAGAGCAATGCCCACATTTTCATATTCACTTAACAGTCAACAGTGACAACACTAGCTACAATTCAATGGGGCCTTTGCCCTAGTGTGGCACTGCTCAAAACGAGAGTTCGGTGAACGTTGTAGAAATGGATTGATGACATTTATGTACTTGAGCAGCCTTTCGATTTGAAGGCCACCGTACAGCCTTAATTGATATTGATTGCAGAGTTTGCAGCGGCGAGTGGATCTATCCAGTGAGTAGCACAGGATTCTTTCCACCAAGGCAAAACAGTCTAGGAGTCTACAGCCAATGCAGCAGCAGCAGCAGCCACTACGTGTATACTCGAAGTATGTTATCAACAGCAATTGCTGTGCAGAATTCAGAGTTGGCCCATATACTTGACAACAACTTTTTGGAGTCTTGCTTGATTTGGCGGAAGAAACGATGTCCGGAAAGGCGGCCCGTCCTTGAGCTATGCGCACAATCAATTTGCCTCTCAGCATACCCCACAAAGCTCAGCCACACCCATGGACATACTACTCGTTTGATCTCAGTTGTTTTTAAGCATCATAATTGGCGTTGTTCTTTTCACCAATCATTGCGTCACCACTTCAGCCCGTGGAGGATCTTAAGGGTTTGTACAAGACTCTTGGAGTGGATACCAACGCTGATGAGACCGCAATCAGGCGGCGGATCGGTGGATCAATGATGGGAAATGACATGAAACGACCATAATATGACTTATGCACCTTATGATGCGTTTGAAGGAAGGCATACAGACGACTTGCTCTTCGATGCCACCCTGTCCGCATCTTGGGATGGAAGGGACAGTCAGGACAGACGGGACAGATATTCCTTTCCTGCCCAGGACAAAAACCAAGACAATGAAAACGCCACGGCGGAGCCAGAAGCTAAATTGGTGCATTGAATGCCTGGTTTTCGATTTACATGTTGCTTTGATTCCAAATCTGACTCAGGTTTCAGAAAATTGCAAATGCGTATGAGGCCGGCATTGCTATTGTTTGTGGGCAAACAAGTAGACGATCGAGTTCCGGAGCCTGGATTAGGTGCTCTCTGATCCCAAACGTCGGTCTCTCTATGACTCCACCGGCTGTGTGGACGCAGAGGAGCCGCTCTGAGTTTGGGTGTCCCTTACAACATGAGTACTTGTACTTTGTAGGAGCTTGACGGTGATGGTCTGTGCCACAGTCTGTCACACTGGGCCAAACTTTCAGGATTCCAGGGAGAAAGGTTGTTGCATAAAGACAGATTTTCCTGTTGAGGTTTCATGCGAGCAGAAGATTTGTTTGCAGCCTTTTTCGGCGGGGGCATGGCGCAGGACAAGTTCGCCGTCCTAGCAGGGACAACATATGACAGCAGAATTGAATAATATATATATAGAGAGAGAGCGAGTGTGTGTATTTGCAGTTGTGATGTTGTATGTTCCAACAAAGAGGCATCAATCGAACAGTCAAGCACTTGGCTTGTGATCACGCATTTTAGCTATATTGCGAAATATAGCTATGAGCACTAGAGAAAGCTTGGATAGCTCCACAGACGAATCTTGCGACCAGTCTTACGGTTGATTCATCTAAGCTATAGAGTCTCATGTGGTTTGGCTCAGCACATCAACTGTGTCTATTATTTTATTGGATTGTCCAGACTTTGCGGTTTGCACCCCAGACTTGCCAATTGCGCCATATGTTCAAGATGGTTCACGTAAAGTGTTTGGCATGTGGCGTCACTAGCTTTTTGCAGGATCTTGATGATGAAGAGCAGGTGCTGCCTGACCCAGTCCCAACTGGTTTCTCTAGTCTTTGAGTTTGTTGCGCTGGTTGACATTATGTAAATCATCCAGGCGATGCTCGACGAGTTTCTCAAGATGACAGGGGCTTTTAGCTTTAAGGCCTTCTGATAGTGTATCCCTCTCAATCACCCTGTCCAAATGCAAGGCCGGTGGCAAGAAGGCCGCTCACACAATGCATGGATATTTCATGTGGTTCTGTCGGTGCATTCAAAATCGCTCAGGGCCGTCGTCGTCGTGGAAAAGCACAGGCCGCCTCATTTGAGAAGGTGCTGCGGTAGAGCGATTTCTTCTGTGGCCTTTAGTGATCTTTATTGCGGATTGTTGGGGTCAAGTGTGGATGGTGCGGATACGATACATTTCGATACTAAAATCAGAAGAATGGTGGCAGCTGCAGGCCTTTCTGGCTGCCATGGCAGGCAACATCTTGGATTACGTTCAATCCAACTTTCGATGAAGCAACGTAATTAGAGTTGTGAAGCGTCGTCAGCATCACATGTGAGGAATGCCAACCACGGATCCTACATGTCCTTCAGGGTCGCTGGGCTACAAAGTTCCAGTGAAGAAAAGGACTGACATGATCAAATGAGCAAGATCACGAATCAAATGGTTGAAGGCATGCCTTGAAAAGGAAGAAAGCTGACGGAGGCGTTTGCTGTAGTTGCAGAAGAGAGAGAGACAGAGAGAGAGAGCGAGGCTAGCTGGCTTTTTCTGCCTCTAAACTGTGTGTTGCTCACCAGGCTATGAATGTGATATTTGCCAAGAAGATGTGCCTGATGGCAAGCGGTTCTTTGACTGCCGAAAGTGTGACTTCAGCATGTGCGCAAAGTACCTCGCTTGCAGAAAGGGCCTAGGCTGCTCCGCATAAAGAGGGTGTTGAATCTAGCATACTTATGCCGCATGCCGAATAAATCATGATGCAGTCACTGATCTCATGATCCTTGATGGGACTGGAGAAGGAGTACATCAAGCTGCAAGGTGCTACAAGCACGCAGAGGCCGCCGCAATGGAGGAGGCAGAAGAGGAGACTCTGAGGGGGCTCGAAATACTTTCCCATGCATTGCAATAATGCCAAGTCAAACTTTTGATTGTGAACTGACTCTTGACGCATGAGGAAGAGGAGGAGGGAGAAATATTTGAAGCTTTCTGCTCGATGAACATTCAGCCAGAACGCCAGGCGCTATGAATCGATGCCTTGTATGAGAGCAGTGTGCGATGTGACGGCTAGGTGTTACGCCTCGTGTAACAGGTATTATGGCATGTTAACATATGTTAACTACTGTATATTGTACAGAGTAGAGTGATGGGCAGTTGGCAGGGTGGACGGCTGGCCTTCCGCTGCAAGTTATGTGGCAAACTCCTGGACACTCAGAGCAAGGCCCATCTCCAAAGTCGAAAGCAATCAACCAAAGCGCAATACCTTGGAAACATTACAAGCTATTACTAGTCATTTTGCGAATATCAAGAAAGACACACATATTTGTATACATTTGTCGGATTTCAGGAAGGCTTTCCCGTGCAACACGGCACATTTGTCAACAGCTTCAGTTGAGGCCGCAGAGCACCTTGTCGACGACCATGCCCAGGAATTCGAGGCCTAAGAACGCTGCAGTGAGCAGTAGCCGGGCCAGGGAGGAGGAAGAGGAAAAAAAAGGTAGGTGGGTGGGTGGGTTGGCTGGTTAGTAGGGAGGGAGGTAAATAGGTAGGCAGGGAGAGAAGAGAACAATCAACATGGGTGTGTCAGTGCGCAATGGGCGACTCGGGTAACTCAAGACAACTTCATGTCAGGTAATGCAGAAACATTGTGATATTTTAGAGTATGTAATATGTACATTCAGTGTGGCTCAGCCAACACCAGCGCAAGTCAATTAGTCTTGTAGATGCCAGACGACCTCACATGCCCACTTTGGCTGAAAACGAGAAAATGGCTTGCTGCTTGCTGGCTCACTGGACTTATGTATGTTTGTACTGTACTGTACTGTAATCTAATTGAACGTACAGTAATGTAATGTAATACAACAGTAACCGTGTATTATATGTACGTATTCTTATGTATGTAGGTAGGTATGTATGTAACTGTACATTAGTCGGCCATTCCGTCAGTTTGTTTGGTTCAATTGCTTGTTTGTTTGTTTGTTTGCATGTTTTCTTGTTGCATGCAGGTCAACACATGTGCCTGAATAATGACCACAGAAGGGTTAGGTTCAGGCAACATGGCAACCCCAGACATAAACCTTTTGTGGCCAAGGCCACCAAGACGATTGCAATAACTGTGTTGCGTGGTTGTGCAGCTTTCAGTATTGTAGGAGTACTGTATCAAGGCTTCACAGCACGGTTGGCTTTTGCCAATCGCATGCACACAACACAAACGATGTATGTGTTGATGTATTTGTATAAGCGCATACTGAACTTCAACCTTCAGTGTGGGCTGTGGCTTGAGTAACTTGTAACATGTAACAACTTCCCACATAATTGGACCTAGAGCACTGTTTCAGCGATTCGTGGGAGCTAGGTTCTTGGCCCTCAAAACATACTGCAGCCCGTCAGTCCAGTCGCTGGCAGGACTCACAGAATTGCAGGGACCGAAATGAGCGATGTCCGGCCTCATGCAAATCCATTCCACCTATGTCTATGTAGTTGGGGAGGGACACATGTGAGTAAGGCACGGAAGAGACAGTCGCTGTGGAGCAGCACAGAACACCACTTTAATAAAACAAGCAATGCTGGCAGTATCGGACCAGTGACCGTAAATAGCAAAATACAAACATCACAGAATTGAAGCGCCATTCCGCCACAATGGTGGTTGTGGCATGCCAGTCACAGTCGAACCATTTCTTTGCTGTGGTGTCTCCACTGCCTTGTTTCATATTTATACAGTGTGCACAAATGGACGGAATTGAACAGATGAAATAGAGGGCAAGAAAAAAACGTGTTTAAAATTAGGTTTTCATTGCTCATTATAAGATAGAAAGCCAAAGAAAGGCACCAGCGACACGACTGCAAACCTCAAAGTGCTGTGTCCGCATCGAATTGCATAGTTACCCCTCATGACTTTAGTTGTTCGCCGCAGATGGTAGCCAATGAAGTCCGTTCCGAAATGGGCGGTTATGCTGCCGCATCGTCTTCAGGCACAGTTGCCATCCACACATTCTATTCCATTTTGCACAGCCGTGTATTTGGAAACATGTGAGGAATGGATGGCTTCGAGGCATTCCTTCTTGGGGCCATGGAGGCTGCTTCAAAGCCCTTGAACACACACACATGCATTTTCCGTAAAAATCTAGGAACCACATGAACAGCACGAGCTTTCTTGCAACCTTGCTAGTAGCTACCTTTCCCAAAAGAAATATGTTTTGTTTTGCATTTGTCAGCGACATTGGACATGCTGGTTTGATTTCAGGGTTTTGGCCCGGGCCCAATGGGTGACCTCGGCGGCGGCTTTGGTGGTCTTGGCGGCCCTCCAAAGGCCAAGAAGATGAAGAATGTGTTTAAATGTGTACCATCATTGAGGTTTTGTGGATTCTCTGACAGGGAAGGCGTCACAGGAGAAAGCGCTGAGTCCAACTGGGAGTCTCGGAGCGGAGGCAAGCCTTGCACAGCAGCTTGCCTTGCAAATATCATGACGTGCTTGAATATCTTGCGTGCTGAGTTCGGGATTCTAGGTGGTTGCTGCCTTCTAGCGATCCATGTTGATCGTGGCAAGTTCTTAATTTGCAGCTCTGAGACTTAGTATATGAATCACTGCAATGTAGGTGATGTCAATAGATTGGTAGACTTTTCCCAGACTTTGCCGGCACATCAGCAAGATGCGGATGACCGAGCCTCACTTAGATTGGCCTGCAACTAAGCGTGGCCACCTGCCATCGAATGCTTGAAAAACAACAACAAGAACACCAAGATTGGCTTGTGCCACCTCTTGCGGCAGACAAGATACCCTTCATTGAAGATTGACGAAAAAACAAATTAGCCATGGTTGTACATGGCATGCATTGAATTGTTTCTTGGCCCAATGGATTCGCAGTGCAAGAGTCGTGGGCTTGCAGCGGCCTCAGCAAGGATTGTGTCTGGGTTGCGCTGGGATCCACGTTAAAGTCATTTATCAAGTCAAGCATCTTCCAATCATATACAAAAAGCTCAGGAGTTTGGGTGGTCTGATGGGTGGCCGTGACAACCTCGGCTTTCACGTTCTTCCCAGCATGCTTTGCAGAAGTGCTGTTGAAACGTTGGAAGATAGAGTCAGAGGTGATGATGGCAAGGGACCCCAGTTATGCACGCGACAAATGTTTGAAGTGTGTGGGGTGGGAGAATCAATGCATTCTCGATAGTCCAGCAACCCACGCCTTTTTGGTTTGACAAGAGTTTGAGAGGTTGTGCTTGAATCGAACTTGTGCTCCTTGGGCTTGCTGTTTGGATCGTAAAGCCGTTGCTTCTTTAGGTCGTGGCGGCAAGGGAAAAGGAGGACCGCCCGGAGCTTAAGTTTGAGACGCAGAAGCTTGATATAATTAGGGAGGTTATCATACTTTCTTGATAGCTTCATCAGATGGTCAATCAGGGTGTTGCAGGCTGGTCATGGGCCAGTGTCAGAGTGATCCGTTACCAACAACAAAGCCCAATCAAAGCCTTGTGTCTTTCAGATGTGCTACTTTGAGGCCACCGGAGCTAATCAAACCATGTGACCACTGTCGTGATGGTTTGATGCGCAGCAATGGACTGACAATTCAAAGGAAAACACCATTAGTGTAGCTCGGGACCCACAAGCTATTTTCAAGGTAAAGGAATTTTGTGGGAGGCCATCGCTAGTAGGTTGGAGGCCATCACTATTAGGTTGGAGGCCATCGCTGTTAGGTTGGAGGTCATTTTTGTGGTGTCCTTTCTCAACCTTCCAGGTATCTGGCTTGGTGGCCTTCCCAGAGACATAACAGATAGCGAAGTTGAGGGAGTATGCTCAAGGTGCGCATGCTGTTTCATGGTGCTTCGGAGTCTTCTTGAAAGGGACAAAACAAGTCATGTCATGTCATGTCCAAGATTCTCAAGGAAAGATGGGACTGACTTGTCAGTGACTGGCAGCATGTTTAGTATCACACGATGAGCATTCAACGTGTTCGGATTCGATACTTCTGCACGTACGTACTTCGTTTATATGACCAAACTAAAAGCCTCTCTTTGGAGAAATTGTTGCATGCAGAGGTATGGGTCTATTGCAGATCTCAATATCAAGCACTCCGATCGGGACACCTTTGTGTTCGTCACCTATACTCGACTAGAGTATGCAGAGGTGGGACGGTGTGTTGGTACTTAAATTTAAGCTTCAATTAGTCAGCAAGTCCTGAGTTCCTACTTTACTGCAGCAGCAAACTGTCACAGGATGCCATCAAAGGGCTAGACCAGAGCAGGGCCTTTGGAGCTGGTGTCATCAAGGTCAGAGTGCCCTCACAAAAAGAATGCTTTGACAAAAATATCGCAAGTTGGGCAAGCAACCCGCTTGAATTGGACTGGAGCTGGCACTTGCTGTGACAAGCAGTGCAGCATAGTTTGCGAAGGGTGTATGTTTGTGTGACCTTCGTATTACCATGTATTGCCTTCGTAGGCTGCGCCTGCAACTCGGAGAGGAGAAGGCAAGGGTGGAGCATCTTGGCACCAAATAATCTAGCAACCGAATGAATAGGGCGAGCGCTTCGTCAATGTTCAAAGAAGCGTGAGCTATCCTGCGTCAGTTCGCTAGTAGCAGGTTACCTAAAGTAGCCGTCGGTGAGGGCAACTATTCGCAGGCTAAACAACACAGAAAACGCGAAGAAAAGAAACTCGCTGAACTTGTAAAGCCAGGAAAAGGTTGGGCTGTGCTTGAAGAAGCCGATGCATGTTGACATATGTTGACATGATAAAGCATTCTGCACGAACGGCGTATCCACATACACATGCTGTGCAAGTGCGAGCGCGTGCACCCTTTGTAAGCCCAACCTATGTCCCTATGCCGCAAGGCTGTAAGGAATACTTCGATATGCTTCGCACTTTTGTTTCGCACAAACATTGGCTTCTCAGGATCGAGGCGACAAATGGGACCGGGATGAGGCTCAACTAGTAACAAGAAGCTACTAGTAGCAAGGTGCATCGCTACTAGTAGCAAGGACGCTACTAGTAGCTAAGTGCCTTTCTACTAGTAACAAGAAGCTACTAGTAGCAATGCTCAGTTGCTCAACCTTGATTCGATCATTGCTTTTTCTTTCCTCGGCACTTTGACATTGGACAGGGGAGGGGCCGGCGAGACGATGACCGGCGGAGGCCTGGCTCCTGCCTTGATTTGTTTTTCATCTGCAAGATCGGTTCACTGTTCACACGACGTGATGTTGGCAATTACCTGTGGCAGGGATAGACCTCGATCCAGAGACAGAAGGAGCTACGATAGACGTGGCTCAGGCTCAACTTTTTGTTTATTTTTGACTCTTATTTCCTTGACTCACACAGAAAAGCAATTGAACGATTATTTGTGCAAACAATAGAATACAATAGATGGTGCATGCATCGTCGTCTTTTTCTTGCTATGAACATATTGTTTGGCTGGCTGTCTAATGTAGTATATAGTATACAAGTGTATATACATACATAATATATATATATGGTTGTCGATCTAAAGGTCCTAGTCAGCAGTGTGTATGACGATGACCTGGAACATATCAAAATCTCATTTGGCGAAAGTGTTTTCTCGAGTTGGCGAAAGTAATTCTTTTTTTTGGCGAAAGATCTGGCGAAAGATTAAATATGTACTTTTGTATGAATGTTCATTTGCTTTCTGAACAGCTGGTGGCAGTGACTCAGAAGCTAGATGAGCTGTGGAAGTTAGATAACCTGCTGCTGCTGCGGCTGCTACTACTACTACTACTACGACTACCACTACCACTACCACTACCACTACCACTACTACTACTACTACTACTACTATTATACTACTACTACTACTACTACTACTACTACTACTACTACTACTACTA